CAAGCGTGCATGCGTAGTCGAGACACTACAAAATGAAGCGGCTCTTGCTGAAGGTTGAATAACTGAAATGACTCTCGGTCCTTCCGAAACCAATAGCGTTTTATTGTCCCAATATAGTCACAAATAATACATTCAGCAGCTGAATAACAGACACGGATCGCGAACCCAACAACGCGGCCAAACATATCTAATGACTTGAGATTCCGAGCTCACTACTTGAACCTATACTGGGCGGTAGAGGTCCTTACTGTCTTCCTGGTGGAAAGTTTCCGTTTGCTTTAAATATGATACCCAAAACAAAGATTTACGCTGAAGATAACCCTGAAATCTTGACTGTGATTGGACGTTTAGATGAAAAAATGCATGTTCCATCACCGCCTGTCGGTTTCACTGAGGTTTTGGATCTAGGCACAGCAGTCACCACTATTTGGCTTTCATCTCTGGAACGTCGTGCGCTGTGGGTCTTGTGGTAAAGAAGTCGTTTCCTGGGGCGTTATCTCGTCGTAGCTAGAGAAGTGGATGGACCTGACCGAACTGCCCCAAGACTTGCTGGAGGTCTTCAGCAACTCTTCACCTGCACTGAAGGCAATCCTCGTAAGTACTCTCGCCATTCAAGGTGTAGGAGCACGATGATCGTATAGAATCACACGCAAGAAGATACGTTTGAACCGATTCTCTACGTAAAGGTTAACCTCGATCCAACGTGAAGCACTTTTCTTATTGGGCATATTAAAGATAAATATATGTTGAACTAATTATATATACACTTTGTTTTGTTACTTGGGGAACATTAAATCCAGGATTAATTCTTCACGTTCACAAACTGTGAAACGGGTATACTATCCTCAACTTTCTTGGACAATGAGAGTTTCAATTGAACAACAACAAACATCGCCATCTTCCCCGGAAATATCGTGGATGATAGTCATAACATATCAGTAAGCAGTAATTCATCTTTTGGACGCGTATCGTTTTATTACACGGATCTGCAAATGTTTTGCACTGACATTTATGGACTACGTTAACGAAATGATCAATTCCGGCTTTTCTTGACAAAAAATAGTCATGCTTCCGAGGACAGTAATTCCCTGGGTATCATAAAACACGAATCAATTAGAATTTTGATATCTCCTTAAAAACATTTCCTTCTCCTCAATGTCCCAGAAAGTTGGCCATGAAGTCTTTTCGCACGTGGACGCAAAAAAAATAGCACGGCAGGTTTCACGCCGTAGTATGACGTTTTCACTCGTATCCGGCCGTTTTAAAAAAAAGTTTCCCAAAGTTCGCGGGTGCCTAAGAAACAGCTTGTAACAAAGCTCCCCAGCTCCTGGTTGCTTGACGTGGGTTTCGCTGAGTTTCGAAACAGGCGAAAACGTGTAACCGGCCGCCCAGTCTTGGGTGCGAAAAGAGGTTTGAATCGAGAAGCGCAGCGTCGTTCTTAGCTTCAGCACCGCAAAGAAAGCACGGATTCTGTCGGCGTCCCCAGTGCTGTGAAGGCCATGAATGGCGCAGTTCCCTTCAATTCAGACCGCCTGTTGGCATAACCCTTCCACCTTAAAGAAACATAACAAAGGATCAACGCAGAAAATCCCGTTTTTGGCGATTGATATTCCATTCAGTTGTACTCGTTAAAGACATAACGGCAGACACATTAGAATTCATTTTTAAGCCTGGAACTAGGTAATGTATTAAATGTAAGAAAATATATCTTTTGCGGACAGATGAGCATTTGTGTAAGGAGTATGAAAATAGATCGTCATTAGGAGAAACGTATCAAGAGCAATTAGTTTCTTTTTTTTAATACACCCAAAATGTTTGTTTCGGCCTATATTAAAATGTTTAATATAGGCCGAATAATATATTCAAACATCGGCGGAAAAAAAAAAAAGAAACTTGCACTGAGAAGTTAATTAACGACTAGGCAGATTTATTTTGAACTGCAGAGTTTACCGATATTTAACAACATCAGCCATGCCTCTCTAAGCACGACAGATATGTTGTACCTTCTTTTCTAGTGCACTCTCACTCATTTTCTTTAGTTGCGTACTTCACCAACCTCGCACACGCACCGATAAGTGCTAATATCCGTTTCGGTGAAATCGTCTCCGAGTTGTTGTTCGGAGTGCTGTGAGCTCTAAACAACGAACACAAGAGACCAAGGACGATCCATTCCTTAGGAGCTGCTCACTTCGGAGGGTCGATTCGAAGCACGCAGAGTGACACAGTTTCTCAAGCATCTTATCCTCGAGGTACGTACACGCTCCTACTCATTCTTTATGTTCTTAATTACTCCCTGTCCTAAGATGAAGTCGCTTAGAGGGCAATGAGGCCTCAAGCTGCGGTTAACGTCTCTGTGATTCCGCCCGCTGAAGCCGGGATAGACCGAACCCGTAAACTTTGACCGGGCGGACTTTCTGTCAACACGAAACATTCTTTGCCTAGGTGTTGGGCATTTCGTGAAGCCTGGATAAAAGCGTGGCCGTGAGGCTCGACACTGATTGGTTGACGGGTGGGAAAGGAGGAGTGAGGTGCTCGACGCTGATTGGTTAAAGGGGAGGTCACGTGACCGCAAGGGCAGGTGACGAGGAGCGAGGTAGGTGACGGCAAACGCACGAAGGCCACGAGCGCCGTGACGACGCACTTTTGGTGATGCTCAGTGAACTATAAGATGGTAGTTGTCGGCAATATAGCTCTGCAAGAGTCCGTCGATAGTGCAACGTCCGGAGAGAATGCACTGGGCAATAGAGAGTTTTACTAGGTCGTTTTCATGACTCCGATAACGATACCCGATACTCCGCCACCGCCTCCCTTGAGCATGCATAGTATCGTTATCGGGGCTATCGGAGGTATCGGAACGATCTACTAAAACTCTCTAATAATAGGGTAGTTGATAGGGGAGTTTACCTTATCGAGCACTCCGATATCTTGTACTTTGTTTCGGCCCGACATGGCGCTGGGAGGGGCAACTCTCAGAGGTCTACTACACCCCCATTAACTTTTATCGCTTTATCTGGTATCACTAAGATAAGTCTGATTTTGGAGAACTTCTGGCGCGTGATTACGGCGGTCTGATATAGCCGTAGTCACCCTGCTGATGCATCATACAAAAGACAGTGTGCACACACTGTCTGAGACAGTGCCTCAAACAGTGCCTCAGACAGTGTCTCAGACAGTATCCAATGGTCGAAGCTCACTTATGTGGAAAGCAAACAAGCGTAAGATGTGTCCGCGGAGAGTTTTTTCATTATGCCTGCAGCGAACATTATGTCCTTTGTACGATGTGCCAGCGGCATGACTGCAGCCTTAGTTGCCACCAGAGTCGCCTCATCTTCTTATCTAGATTACTGTCACGTCTTCCCTGTGTTTCTTTTGCTTTTTTTGTTTTTATCTGGTTTTCTCGTTACCGTCATTCTTTAAATTGTAGTTACTGTTCCGGGGGACTATTGGTACGTTAAGTCACCCGAGACTGTACACATTGATACTCGCGACAGAGCCACGCGTACACACCATCGATAGGCAAGGCTATACGCAACGCACAATTAATTCTGCCGTGTGTTTCTGGGAAAACTTTCAAACATTCCTAAAGATAAAATGTTTGAGGAGAAAACGAAAATTAACTATTTCGGGAAGAAGCTGACAGCCAGGGTAGTGATTGCTAAAATATTCTAATTAGCAATATAATTACCTAATATTGACTAAATCATTGATCAGCGAAGATAAACATATGGTTCCCATTAGAAACTCGCAGGGCATCATCGAAAACACCTAAATTATTCAGTTATAAAACAAGCTGAAGCACGTGCAAAGCGCCTAAGCCCTAAAATTGACTACCTAAGTCGTTTTCGATGACGCTCTGTGAGTTTCTAATTGAAACCATATGGTTGTTTTAGAGCGCAGCACTTAGGCGCCCGTTTCCGGCTTGAGCGGCGTCGCCTTCGCCGTTGGCGTCGCCGTCGCCGTCGGCGTAACCACGCGTTGCGTTATGGGAAATGTCCCATAATGCACCGCACAAGACCCTCGTGACGTCACGACGCCACGTGTGACGTCACGAGGGTCCCGCGCGGTGGATTATGGGACATTTTTCTTAATGCAACGCGCTGGAAGGAGGGAGAGAAGGACGAGGGTGAGGGGAGGAGGAGAGGGGGAGGAGGAGGGAGAAGGAGTAGCAGGGAGGATGAGGAGGAGGGGTTTACCCTTCCCTCAGTACCCTTCTCTCCTCCCCTTCAAAAGCTGCGCTCTAATTCGGTGTTGCACGGTGTTGCAAACGCCTTTCATTTTTGTCATTAATTAAAAAGTTAATTTTTCTATTTTAGGTTATTACTCGGCTATTAGTATGCTAATATGTGAAACCCGAGATAGTTTTTTTTTTTTTTTAAGCACCCAAGTTTTAGGAATTCTTGACAGTCCTCGCAGAAACACCCAGTTTTATTTGACGCCATGTTGCAGCGGTTTCCGAACCATACAAACGAATATAAGGTATCTACTTCTCGATCAAATGATAATCTGACGACTGTTTGTAAACAAAAATAATACTACATAAATAATAATAATAATATTATTAATAAAAAAAAATCAACATGGGTGGTTCAAGATATAAAGGACGAGGGTAGTATTGAGTGGTCCGAGCTCCATGATCCGACGACGGAAGGAAACACACGTTTATTGGCTTAGAACGACGTCCGCAACCATCGTCGCGAACTTGTGGTCATCCTGGCTCGTTGGTCTAGGGGTATGATTCTCGCTTAGGGTGCGAGAGGTCCCGGGTTCAAATCCCGGACGAGCCCGTGATTTTTTTTTTTTTTTTTTTTTTACTTTTTGTTATATGAACTATGTCATAAAAACATTCGCTGAAATATGCCGGTGCAATTTAGGTTGCACCACAAATTATTTTGAGTTCAAACAGCGCTGTCCCCGATTTCGTCATATTTTGCGCACGCTTTCTTTTTTTCTTTCTTTTTTATTTTTAGGAAGTTTTTTTTTTAGATGTAAGAGGAATATTCCTTTCTATATTTTTGGATATAACGCAACCGAAGGTGGGAGCTTCTGCAACAAGTCTCTTTTAAGTATGTGCTCATCAGTAGACAATCCGCACCTTTCGAATAATTACTTTCGACAGCGTCAAGACGAACCGGTGGCTGGCACGTTCCGGATAGATGTGGGCTTTGTGGTGCTGGACGCTTTCGCTCATACCTGGCTGCGCAGAGAGCACAACACGAGTAAGCAGACCTTGACCCCTAATCAAAAAAAAAAAAAAACCTTGGCGTGCTGATATGGCGGCAGAGGACTTCACTCAGCCTTGTCGATTTGGGATAAAATCCCAAGCGTTAGCCAGGGAATAAGATAGCATTCGAAACACTTATACCGCTTCATATAAAGAGTCAGGTCACCGGGTGTTCTTCGTATCGTTTGATGCGTCCTTAAAAGCTCGTGCTCTGAGATTGTACAGAAACTTCAAGTTTGACAGTTTCGTGCAAAACGTTTCACTGTTCATTCGTGTGTTTTAGCTGTGAGAGGCGCAGCACAAAACCATTGGCTGGTTTTTGAATTACAGTGCAGTGGTAAATTCTCCAAATGCACAATAATAAACAAACGTTTTAAGTCCAGCTAAGAATTATAAAGGTATGAATGGACAGACCCATATAGTATTCTTAAACAAAAAGAAAACTGAAGAGAAGAGTTTCTTGCATCCTGAGTAAATTCAAACACAAAACAATGAACTCTTCCTAAAAACAAGCGTGATATTCTCATTTCCGCGATAAGCGTTGTGACCCAAAACCAGAGCCCATGGTCTCAAGGACCAATCAAACTACCTCCTACCGATTTTTTTTTTCTTTCGGAGGAGGGGTTTATAATCGATGGAATATAAGCTAATTATTATTATAAACATTAAGTGCATTAGCAAACATACTAACCTTACATTAAGAGCGATTCTATAGCTTGCAGAAGTGCAGTTCTCATTCAAAGCATTTGTCCTGTTCCGTTGATAGCGGAGCTTCTCTATGACCTGCTGGACATGCTCACCTTCTGCAAGTCCGACATGCCAGGTCTGATCAAGGGAGAACTTGAGGTCTTCCAGAGAGGTACGATTCAGAGCTGCTCTCTCACGCTTCCGGAACATTCATTTGCCTATATGTACTTGGACCCGTTGTCTACCGCGTGGTGGTAAAGTACTAGTTGCGTTTCTCTCTTCGTGCACACGACATGAATGATCTATTGCGTACAAAGCTGCACAAACATATGTGTGAAAGGCAAGAAAGAATAGACGTTTCATGCGTAAATTTGTTTTATTTGACAGCGCTGCAAGCCCCGCAGGGTGGCAAAGCACTGCAGAAGTATTTTTACACGCACAACATGATAAGAGCAGTATAAAAGCTCAATAATACGTTAACAAAAATTTCTGTGTGGACCACAACGGGTACAAACATGCCAATGTAATGGTCCCTGACCGCCTACATCCGACGGGGAAATTTTTCTGTTCTGCCAGCGTGCTTTCTGGCTTTAACAATTTTCTAGTGGCGCGTGAGTTTTCGTGTACGCCCAGCATCACAAAAAAAAAAACAGCAGAGTCATCGTAGAGGTAGGACAACTGAAACAACCCATTCCGTAGTTGTTACGTTGGCACTGACTGCAAGGAAAAATCGATGCACAAATAAACTAACTGTCTAGAAATGTCCGCATCTCAAACACCAACCTCGAATATAATTTGCAATAAAATAGAATATTCAGATGATTTCCGAGAATGCGGAGTGCCTCTATAATCAATCGATTGATCAATCATGCGGTATAAAGGTTTCTCTCAATAACTATCATGCGGACTCTTCGACACAGGTGTCACCGTTGATTTGGGAAGATTTGGGACGGGGCAGCTCTTCGTGCGACGGAAACAATATATCTATCGACGCGAAGAAGTGTCTGTGAAATTTACGCTACATAGACGAATAAGCGAGCAAAGTTGCATTTACTTTTCAGTATTGCAGCTCGACTCGGCGCACGACCTTGAAGCTGTGCAATGGTCGATTCTTCTCTCCTATCTGCTCACTGTTTTCCGAGGCAGCGACAGCGAGGTCGACTCAGGTAACTGTTGCTTCTAACAAAAAAAAAAAAAAAAAGAAGAAACTTTTGGAAACTTTTGAAGATTTAAAGTTTTTTTCGGAAAATTTTGAAGATTTAAAGTGCAGTTGTGTCGACATCTACCCCTCACCTTATTCCTCTTTTGAAAGTGTAAAGTTCTTCGAATTTTTCAAGGCAAGTGAATTCTTTCATCAAGAGAAACCATAAGAGACAGACATGCAGCGATTATTAATTCGCATTACATGACATGTTTTTTAAAGTATTTCCATTCCACGCGTGACGTCACGTTCCACGTGAGCGTTGTGGGCTGTTCGAAATTCCCGCGCGAGGTCATGCGGTTGTGACGTCATGACCCTGTCGACCAATCAGGATTTTCGCGTCACGCCACAGACGCCGGCCTTTCTGCGACACGAGCTCCTTAAAGGCCCGTTCACAAACTTGCGACTTCTAAGAACCGAGTGCCTTGGAACCTCTTAATATCTCTTACGACGAGAATAGAGTGACTGTATAGACTCTGCTTGCAGACACACTGGCGCCATCTGTTGGGTAACAGCGTAAACATGGCGGTCCGGCATATTTTTTTTATTTATCTCGCGCATTATCCTTTCTTTCTTGGCTCGAAAAGCTTTTGTCAACGTTGTAAACGAGCCTTTCTCACGGGTGTTACGCACATTTGACCTCGGAAATCCCGCAAAACCTTCGCTCTTATGCAATACAGTTCCAGGGTCACCGCATCGATTGCGCCAGCGTGCCAGTGTGTTCTCTCGTCCTAAGAAATTTTAAGAGGTTTCAACAAGTCTCGTCTCTCTCGGTCGTATTCGGTTGCAAGTGTGTGAACGGGCCCTAACAGGGATGACAAGGCAGCCAAGCGCGAGCGGTCATTGGTTGAGGCCGGGGAAAAACGAAAGCAAGTGGGCGCATCTGGCGGGTAAAGAAACGCGCAACGTGCGCAAAGAGCAGACGAACTAAGGGGTGGGGCTCTGGAGTTTCAAAGGGAGCCTCGTTTTGCACGCGTGCAGCTGCGTCGCTGCTGCTCTCGCAGCCCCGGTGGCTGGAGTCCCTCGAGACGCAACTGGTGGAACCCGGGCACGTCCGCGCCACCGGGTTCATGGTGCTCCAGAGGCTCATAGACATCCAGCTCCGGGCACACATGCCGGTAAGACCGAGCTCGCTAAACCAACCATCCTGACGTCATGGGACCTCGAGTCACGTGACGTCAATTTTCACGCTACATTTATGGGGAATATTCGCGTCATGCGACCACGTCACGTGGCCACATCGTGTGACGTCAACGTCTGTGACGAGGTGGTGCCTCGAAGCAGGCACGTAGCCAGGGGGGGGCATGGGGCCCGCCCCCCCCCCCCCCCGAAATCTTCAATTTTGCTGGGTCCTCCTCTCCCCTGTCCCCCTCATACAGCATTTTGTCATGGGCGCCCCCCCCCCCCCCCCCCCCCCGAAACAAAATCCTGGCTACGTGCCTGCCTCGAAGTGGTATCGTTTGCGCTCAACACCATTACGTGCTTTCCGGTCTTTTATCCACGCGATCAAGCTTGAGTGATTTCGATGGGCGTAGTGCGGCGGAGCGGTGTTGCTGGAAAAGCGGTCCCTGCAGTCCGAGCTGCACGCCGGCCCGGAGGGCGGCGTTGTGGCCGCCATGGCGCTCCTCCGCGCCCTGCTCGCCCAGCAGCTCTGGCCCACGGGCAGGGGCCTGGCGGTCAGGCTCAAGACGCCGCTGTCCCTGGCAGACTACAGCGCCCTCCTCTACACTCTGGCGGGACACGCGGCAAAGGTGGGGGAGCCGCGCCAGGAAGCTCTATATGGTATACCGCGCAAGTATCTATAGGTGCGAATGCGGCGTAAGAGTACCGTGCAAAGTCTTCTTATATGTGTGTCTGCTTTATTGGGACAATCTTATAGGGAGAGACTGAAGCATGGAAAACAATCAAGAAATTGGAGGGAATTTGGAGTGCGCAAGGATAGTTAATAACAACCGTTGTGCACGGTGATGGCTGGATTTTTGTTTCTCTTTTCTCTATAATAGCCAAAAATTGTTCCACGTTACTTCTTAAAAAAAAAAAAAGCAATGAGGCACACGCGAGTTGATTTTGTACAAAAACCTTAAAGATGCCTTTAACCAAACGACATTTGTGATTCACGCGCGATTTCGTTTTTTCAAAAATGAAACGATATTGTCATGTTCCGATTTATAATTTTTTTTTCTTGTTTTTCGCACATGCGTTGTAGCTTTAACGTTCTACGAACCTGGAGATCAAGCTCTAGCTAGCGCCGCTTCTCTCGAGCTCGGATGCGCTAGCTGATTCGGGCATCCGAATCTTGCCTATCGGCTATACGGACCAACCATTTCCGTAAACAAGTTGTCTGATTTTATTACTAATCTTCCCGATTTTTCAAACTCCACGTTCGTATTCATTTGAAGCACCTAAAAGAATGATAAATAAATTATCTTCCACACAATTACGCGTGCCACGCGAGCTATAAGCGTTCAGTGGAATATAGCTTCTCCACAATGCGGCATTTCGCACGGAGGGAGCAAGATGCTTATATTTGCAACTTCAACGCCCTACACATGGCGGGGTGGTATAGTTTCAAGATGGCAGAAGACACCGAAATATATTATCCATGATTTCCCGCTCGCCTGCTCGCTGATGCTGGTCAGCGTGCTAAAATTGATTCATCTCACTACAAATACGGATCGGTCGGGACAGGACCATACCACAGGAAACGGAGATATTGACGGAGATTAATTAACAAAAAATGAGTACGTTTAATGTTAGAATTTGCAAAGCGGAGCAGAACAGTTTTCCACTGTAACGCACTCTTTTTTTCTTTTTGCGTTAAAACTGCACGGTGCACGAACACGCCGTCCACAACCATGTGGTAACAGCGGACCCGTCTCCGCCGCCGTCCCCCCTCCTCTAGTTCTCCGTTCGTCCGCGAGAGGGCGAGCGGCGGGCTGAAGTTGAGAATAGGGTGGTTCAAACATACAGCGCAGCGCTGAATGAACGCTATAGGAACAGCGCTGACTTGAACGTAACCTAACAATGTTACAGCGCTATATCGCAATAGCACCTAAAAGTATATATGTTACTATACTTGTGTTTTGTACTATATCTTTGACTTAATTAAGAGAGTTAAAGGTATTAGCGTCTACTCTGGGCCGTATCTGATGCAGATCAACACGGCGGTGGATGAACCTGCAGTTGAGTGTCTGGAGGTCATCTTTCTATTTGTAGACCTCGTCAGCGACACGGATCTGGGTACGTTTCTCCCGAAATGTATATAAAATAGCGTTTCCTGAAAATTTTAGAGTCCCCGTTCTGTCGTTATCATCTTCCATGGCAAGCATGCAGCACAGATGTGATCAGATGTGACAGATGTGTTTTGTGCTTTGCACAGAAGGATTTAACAGGAACCCTTTGTGCTACATTGAATGAACTGGCTCACAGTAACTTAAACCTTTCGGAAAAAAATTACTGTAATAACGATGCAGTTTGCTAGAATTCGAGGCAATTACCACTTGCAAGTCAAAAAGCCAAAACAAAAGTCTAAAGCTATTTATATTTTTACGAGGGGCGGCCTTCCACGGATGTACAGAATAATACAACGTTTGCAGATAAGTACGCTTATTCATTACACTTTCAATAAGTTGTGTTTCTTAATATTGCGTCTAACTTGTTTAGACCTTGAAACTTTCCACCATAGGGCTACGGTTTTATGCAATCGGAGATTAAGCCCTAGTTATTTCGCAAACAAATCGAAACGTTTCCTTGTGCCCACGTAGTAAAATGGTGCTTATTTCCTGAAATCATTAACGCTGCCGATCCAAGAAGCGAAATTTTATCAAAACAAAACACAGAAAGAAGCAGAAGAGCGTGTTGGCTTAAAATCTTTCTTACGTTGTTTGACGATAGGCAACAAACAACGAGGAACCTACAAATGCTGTCTGTGTCTTTCGTGTTTTGTGCGTTCCCATTCAGGCTCGTTCACACACTTGCGTTTTGCTTAGGACCGAGTTTCTGTGACTTCTTACGACGAGAAGTCGCATGTGTGTGAACCAGCCTTTACACTCAAGAGCTAGAACCACTTTGTAAGAGAAGAACGACTGGTTCGCTGGTGCAGTGTCTCGGCTGGCGGCTCATCCGTGGCTGAATAGCGTGCTGCTGGAGTGCAGGCTCCTACACGCCGGACCCTCTCTCAGCATCACCACCCTGAGGATAGTCCTGCTCGTAGGTTCAGCCTTCCCTGACACTTCGAGCGGGTGGTTATTAAAATCACACTAACCATGATCTTGATCCTAGCTGCTCCATGGAGGCTGTTTATTTTTCAGCTTAACATATTTCTTAAAAAAAAAACGCGAAGGGTTTGAGCAGGTGTGTTTTACGACCAGTAGGACATAGTGTAGGGGCTAATCGTAAAGATCCGTCGGCTAATTACCTAAAATGTGGTCTATTAGAACGATGATGATGATGATGATGATTTTCCTTGTGTAGCGGGCGAGCTAAAAAACATCTGCCCTAGCCAAAACTGTAAAATGACAAAATCCTAAGATGATTGATTATCTTCCACTGTCGAAAATCTTTCGCCATCAGTGTTCTAGTCTTGTTTTCATTGTCTGCCCACACTGCAAGCACAGCCCGTTGTCCATCTTCTCCTTAAGTCTCCTTGGTTGGGGCGGCCGTGCTGGAATTGTGCAGGTTTTGCTACTGACTCCACTAAATACAACTAAATACAAAAATGAAGAGGAATAAAAAAAAACGTCACTACCAAAACGCTTTATTAGATCGCAGTAACAGCTGTTTTCGACGTTTGTCATGTCCGCCGACGCTAAACAGGCGCTCCACGGATGCCTTCAAAGGTTGGACGGCAACCCTTGCCGGTTCTGCTGTTTCACCAACACACATTACACAACTCCTCGTAACTTGCTGCCATGGCAGAACGAAAGCCGTTCCCTGTCTCTCACACTCCATTGCGTCCAGGTCTCGCTTCTCGACTCTTCTCACACCAAACGCGTGTGCGAAACACGCTCAAGAAATTACAGAGACAAAATATGATAAAAACATTTCCTATGTACGTTGAGCATATAGTTAATGTTAAGTTACATACTTATTTCGTGTAGTTTTGTCGTTTTTTCCTGTCTGGGAAAGAGAAGCGTCTACCGGATGGAAATTTATTTCGACTCCGCTCGGGTTTGCTCGTCTACGCAGGGATCATGTTGTGTCTGCTTAGTGTAGCCGTTTGTTATGGCGGTACTCCATGGGCGAAAAATTTGAGCACAGTCCGCGATGCGCAACTGTGCTCCATCACGTCCGCCCTCTGAATGCGTGCATCTTTGCACGTGTGCGCCAATGTGTGTTTTCTAGACGAGAAAGGGAGATCTCTCGCGCGTCTACAAATTGAGCAGTAACTTACGAAGTGAGTACAAGCTACTTGAAAATACTATTTAGAATAGAGTACTAAATATTCACCTTCAACCGAATTTGTAAAATACCAAGTTACTCACAAAAGTATTTATGACACGGTGACTTGAGTAGAACATTTAAGTTACGTACAGGCCTGCGTGAAACCCAGCTTCACCGTATGCAAAAGATCATATGCAAAAAGAAGCCCCATCTTTTGTACTCATGAACAATTGTTTAAATTTCAGACATATTGGGGGGTTCCCGTACTGATAGTTTCGCCCGAGAAATAATTAGGGACTTTTAGCAAGCCCCCCCACCCCCCCCCCCCCCCCCCCGTTACCGTATTCCCCGTATCGCACTGAGTGTTGGACAAAATACTGGGTAAAGGAATATAAGTTCAGTTATTAAATACCCGCTTCATAAGGTATTTAAAATACTACTCTGGTTACTTTCACTGTAAGCTATCTTGAGTAAAGTACAACTACTTAAAAATGTAATTCAATTACTTTTGAAGATACTTTCGCATTCCGTAATTTGTGTCGACGTCAGTGAGAAACACAAACAGTTGCGCAAATCTGGTTTACCGGAATGGTTTATTAGTGCGTAACAGCACAAAACGAAGGATGGGGGGAACATCGTAGGGCTATTTTATGCAGTCCAACTATAACGAGCAGGATATGACTGCCACATGTTACAAAACATTTTTTGGGAAAAAATCCTTAGACGCACTGTTTAACTGCAATTCATATTTCCTATATGGGAAGTTCACTATAAACGAACCTGGGATACGGGAATGAGTGAATGGATAGCGAAGAGAGCCCACCTAATAGCCACGGCACTGGTCGCACCTTCTTTAAGTAGGTTGCGTTCAGAAAGGCACTCAACGTTGGGGGACGCTTTGTTGGCTTTTTAAAAAGTCATCCTGCTCGTAGTTCGTTTCCTGTCTTGTTCTCTGCTTATCAATGTTCGCATATAGACAGTGTTCGCGAGAACAATAAATGCCGGACTTACGATAAAAAAGAAAGAAAGAAACCTTGACGTTCGGCAGTAGCGTTTTCAAATATAAAACAAACAAAAACAAAGTATTTTTGTGTTTCTTTTTTTATTTTATTTTATTAGTTATTTTCTTGACACTAAAGTATGCATTGTTGTCGTGGGTCGTTTTCCGTTCTGCGTTGCACGTATGTGGCAATCTTCAGTTCCGTAAAACCGCGCCTTTTGTTTGAGAATCTTTTGTGGGAAACTCTAGGAAACAGAAGGCGCCTTTGGGAACGCGAGAGAAAAACCTTGATAGTACGAACTTTGGGGTGAAATATGTGTCACACTCGGCACAAGTGCAATGTTTTCACGAGCTCAATCTAAGTCACCGTAGCTTATCGGAGCTAGCAACAGGATTTGGTTTCTCGAAAGAATATTGACGTTTGCTCGTGCCACGTCCACGCCACTTCATACCTAAAAACTCGGAGAATGGTTGAATGTCGAAATTGTTTTTGAGATAAAGAGTACAAGATACTCAGAACTGTAATTAAAATACAGTATCAAATCCTCTCGATCAAAAGTATTTGCAAGATACCAAGGTACTTCAAAAAGTGTTAGAAATACAGTATCTTGAGTAGAGTATTTGAAACCGGCACAAGTGTGATTTCGCACTACGGGAGCCTTTGAAGCATGCTTTTAAGCGCGCGCCCCACGGTCACGGAATCACTACGGTGCCCGCTTAAAAGAATGTTTCAAAGGCTCCAGTGGTGCGGTACGCGGAACAGAGCAACGATTTACTAAAAGTCCCTTATGGTCTTGGCAATTGGGAGTCGTAGATCTAAATTATGATCACGTGCCGGCAGTCCACGAACTCTCTACAAAACGTTTTCGAAAAAGACCGTTCACTGAACTGGGGCCCTAATCTGGACAGTTGGCGAAAAAGTCGGCGAAACATCTGGCGGCCGTGATTGGACAACGTCGCACTTGACCTTGGCGCCGGCCAATCAGAACCGCCAGATTTCTCGCCGTCTTTTTCGCCAAGCGTCCAGATTAGGGCCCCTGGACTGCTCAGTTCACTGCTTACGTGACAAGTCTGCCGACCTCGTTGACGATTCCTTTTCCAGAATTTTGTGGCTGTCAATATTTTCTTCTTTAAGCCGAAACTAAACAGCAACCAACTGAGTGTACAGATGTAGCAAAATATTGAATGGGTAGTCTTCCGACACCATACTAAACCGATGGGACCGATCAAACAGCATCAAAAGCGCGACGTCACGATGTCTGTCAAGTGTGTGTACTTGTTCTATATGTCATCTCATAACCAATTGTGTACGGGGAAGACCCAGTGACTAGCGCTTTTCGCGCTCTTTGATTAATCCCATCAGCTCGTAGCATCGGCATGCGCCTGGGCTTAAAGTGAAACGAAGTATAGACCACCCTGGCGAGAATGAACGCTGGACCTCTTTGCAGAGCGCGAGGCAAGAGGTGTACACGTGCTATAATAGACTCATTCACAGCGAGCAGCTAGGACTGATCAGAGTGCGACTATTGTGAGCCCGTTCATTTTGAGTAGAACCCGTAACTTTCACGTATCCATGCTGGGAGGTCTAGAATATTTCACGGCTGCATTCAAACAGAGCTAAAATCCTGATTAACGCATATTCAGGATGTTACCTGACGACCTCGTTTTCAACTTGCGCTTTGCTGGGAATTCTTGTCGGGCAGGTGCTGCAAGGAGCCCATACCAACCAGTTGATTGTGGAGCAACTTCCCTTCATCGTCGATTGCCTCAGTACCCAGGGGAAGAGTTGTATCAGCCTGTCAAGGAGGATTGCCGTCAAGGTGAGAGCGCTCAAAAAGTAACTGCAGCGAACTAACTTATATTCATTAAATATTCTATAAAAAAATATTGTTTCGTAATACTGGTTGCTGAGGGAGTCAAGCTGCGACAAACTCGAAGCTTGTAGAGCTCTTGGTTCAAGGTGCCTCTGTTGTCTTGCAACTGCTCATTCAAAAAAAGAAACATAAATATGCGAGTGACAAAGCTATACGTTTCCTCATAACTTTCACATTAATGATAATAGTAATATTATTAATAAAAAAACTATATGTTACACCAACAGGCCGATCTAGAGAAGAGAGGCTTGTGTGGTATGATGACCGAGCAGTTTGACTTTGTCAGTTTGGACAGCAGACAATGAGCCGTTTGGGACGTGTGGCAAAAAACGAGAAATCAACTGTGGCCCAGTTCGTTCTGACCATTCGCCAATCTCGCCCAATATTCTCCTTCTTTTCCCCAAAAACAATACAAAGAAAGAAAAACAAAAACAAAAAAACGAGATTACTTTTGAAAATATACATCTGGCATATTGTGGCAAAGACTTTCGCTGTGGCAGGACTAAACTGACCCGTCTCAGAATCTTTAGAGTCAAATCAGAACTTCAGTTGAACAAAGTCGGCTCATCAAGAAGCCCCCAGCTGGCATATTGCGGGCCCCTCAGTCGCACTACAACGTCGCCAACTAGGGATCTAAATACCGCCATTTCCTTTCAGAGCTACCGTCCATACTGCGCGACGTTGTTAGCCAAAGCACGACGTCAAATCTTCTTTTTTTCTAACTTTATTGAATGACATTTGATCTTAGCTCTTGGTGTATTCGCACGACAGATCTTTATCCTAGGAAAATCCTTAGTGCGCCATATATCTGCGAGGTTTGTGAATATGTTTGCGACTTTTGGGGGCTCGTCGAAGAGGAGGCAGGGGGAAAGAAGAGAAGAAAAAGAAAAGGCACCCCACACCTCAATGCTGTTGACCGTAACCTTTCCCCAAAAGGAGAAGAACAAGAAGGGGGTTCACTCTCGATGTTTCCCTTCTTCTACCACAGTTTCAGGTATAATTAATCAAAACTCATTTTCCGACAAACTAGTAATTTTAATTAAATCTCTTAAATTACCTTTAAAAGAGAGACAGGAAAACCAGACGATTACTGGTCGGTGTAACCGTGTGGCGCAGTGTACATAGAAGCACTCTCTCTGTTTGTCACAGCTACTGTCTGGAGGCTATCACCGCCACCTGTCAGAACAGTCCAGAGGGAAACTGCGCCATCTGCTCAGTCCTGCTGAAGACACAGATCCGGTACAGCAGCGGCAACAGCAGCAGCAGCAGCCACGGGCCATCTTGCCTGCCTGATTCTTCTTCGCTCGGCCCGCGATCTGTACTATCATGTGCTTACTATGTGTACCGCAACGATGTGTACTATGTACATTGCTGACTTGTTAATGTCCGAGTATTTGAACACCGAGTCTTCTTTATCCAACCCCGATGCAAGTACTATGTTCATGCTTCAGGTTTCCTGTCCGAACTTTGCAAACTTGATTGGACCAGGAGAACAATGCGAAGAACATGCAGTTGGTTACAAAAGGGTCAAAGATAAGGCACATTTCGTAAACTCAACTTAGTCCAGAAAATCTGTGAGAAAGTTAAAACACGCGGACTGCGGGGGGACGTTGTCTGTGTCTCTCCATATCTCGCAGCAGATTTTGTTCTGCAAGTCGTAACCTGTGTCATGACATTTGAGCAGTGCATTTGTCTCTCAACTGTTACTTTGGCTTTTCTTTTTTCAACTTTTAGGAGTTTATGTTTGGAGGACAATAAGAACTTGTTCTCCCCTCGCAAATGTTATTTGCTCATCGTTTTTTTTTTTTTTTCTTAAGTTCGATATTATAGCGTCTGCTTAGCTAATGGGGACACCACAAGCTTTCTAAGGTTCACTTTTTGATGTTTCCTAGTCACTTCGCGTGTCTTCTATTTGCTGTTGAATGAGATAATCCACCGCGTAAAGCCTATTTGACTTTTATGTTTGATATTGTTTGCGTTGAGGCTAATTTCACTTTCAACATATCATCGGGCATATCGATACTGTTTGGTTTGTCTTGAACATAAAACAGTTTTCTTACCACCTTGGGGTCCGTCAATTCTCAAAATTGAAACATTCGGTTATCACGTCAGCATTGTTTTGTCTACAACCCCGAGCACCGAATTTGGAGATACCGATGCATATTGTTGGCCCTAGTCACACCTTGGCCAAAAAAAAAAAAGAAAAAAAAAAAGATCCGCGATTGAGAATGTTTAATAAAGCCGACCACCAAGAGTGTGAAACGGTGTTACCATCCTCTCTGCAAAGTGGGCGTTGTATAAATGTCGGATTCTTGGGGTTTAGATCAGTGTTGCGGAGTTGCCACTCCGGAGTTGGAATGATTCCGGAATCATTCCGAATTTTCGCGACCCCGGAATGGAATGGGAATGGAATGGCGGCAACGTTGAGGGGAATGGAATGGGAATGGAATTAGCCCTTACAAAAATTTTTAATGAATTTCATTTGACAGTTTATGGAGTCTACTCATTACATCTTTTCGAGTCTCAATAGAAATGCAAACGAGTTTTGTAACGAGTCTGTAAGGAGTTTACGAAAACTATTGGCCACCGCGTTCCAATTGATGTTTCGACAAAGCTACCGCATAAAGTTTCCAATGTATTTCATATGAATATAATTTGAAAGTCTATTGACACCGTTTCGAGTCTGTGTTGAAAAACAATTGATTTTTTGTAACGAGTCCCTAAGGAGTTTACGAAAACTATTGGCCACCGCGTTTCAATTACGGTTTTGCCGTGCCACCTCATAAGAATTTCTAATAGATCTCATTTGAAAGTCTAGACACACTGCTTTGAGTCTCTGTTGAAAATCAAATGTTTTTTTCTACCACGTTGTACTTGAGGTTTTGACGTGCCATCTCATTAGGTATATTCCGACGAGTCGGAATATACCAAATGAGATGGCCCATCAAAACCTGAATTGCAACGCTGTAGAAAATAACATTTGATTTTCAACAGAGACTCAAAGCAGTGTATCTAGACTTTCAAATGAAATGTATTAGAAATTATACTCCTAGCATGGGTTTCTAGATAGACGGCAATAGGTTGCATAACATGTGGTCCGGATCTAACCGTTGTTTTGAGGGAAGGGGAAAGTGAGTGCAAGTGTTTTACTTATATGTATGCCTATATACGCATGCAAGGTTCGGAAAATGCCTGCATAAAACCGTGGGAAGGAGTAATAACTGGTTTATTAAAAATGCAAAATTCGAGTATACGGTACAGTGCCTTCGTGTTCATGGGGGACCTTGTACTGCCTTCGTGTCCATGGGAGACCTTGTACTGCCTTCGTGTCCATGGGAGACCTTGTAATGCCTTCATGTCCATGGGAGACCTTATACTGGTAACCTATAAAGAAAAAAGATGCACAGTTACACGTTGATCTGCTTATCTAAACTTCAATGTCCGCGCAAGGTATCCTGATCACAGCGCAGCACTACCTCAGCGCTGAATCAGTATTACAAACCGGAACATCAGTCCTTTATGAAAGGAGGACCCCCAGAGCACACGATACAGGCCATGGAAGTAGCAGTGACTCGTTGCCTTAACAGGACCGAGTTAGCGCTGCACTGTATGTGTGAACCAGCCTTAAATGCAGAAAGTCACATTCAAAATTCCTACATTTTTGCTCACCCAGGCACTTAATTTACACACTACCTTGATAGTTTAATGAGTGGCACTAATAACACTGTCAGGGGCACCATAATGCAAAAGTATATTTTGCCCCCAAGTCTGCGAGAATCAATCGCTCACTGTTTTGCCGCCGCATTGCACTCTTTTTTATTTCGGCTTTTGAAAAGGTCTTCCAAAGATAAGCCAGCAGATGTTGCCGCTTATGACAGAGAAGCTAAGACTTATAAGCATCTCGCAGAATTAATATGGCAATTCGAGCCAATTGATCCATGATCGTAGACAAGCGCCGCAAAAAACACATGGACAATAAGTGGTGGTAAACACTGGCGCCAGTGTTTTATGCCCACAATTGTTGTCCCTGTGTACTTTTATTTACTTTTTTGTGTTTGTTTACTATCTTGAAGAAGTATTTTTAATCACAACGGACACGAAGGAAAGGGTAATAGGGTTCTATGCGGATCATAAAGCCATGCTCCGCATGGGTGAGTGTCAACTGCAGCTTTCACAACAGTGGCGGATCCAAAGGGCCCCCCCCCCCCCCCCCTACAAAGTTGACCCCCCTCGCTCCCCCCTTTTCGGAGGGCAATTTGATATGAGTGGACCCCTCTTGCACAAGAAAGAATGGGAGAATAGTATCCTTAAAAATTTTCCGCCCATACCAAAACCGAGGTCTGGATCCGCCACACTAAGTTTGAATTATTGGGAGGATCGAGACATCAGAGGCCGAATTCAAAAAGCAAACTTACGATAAAAACTTGCGTATGACAAAACCCGAGAAGAAATCCTTATTACAAAACAAGATTGTCGCAACTTTTGTGTGACTTACAACGGAATATTACGACATTATCCAAAGTGTCTCACAAACTTTTTAGGGCAAACATGGCCGCACATCACTTGGCTATTTCACTACGACCAGCAATGAATATAGAAGCGTGGGCAAGAGGCATGTGTTTTGCGCACTGTTCACATGCATCCCTACTTGAAGCAGCCTAAGGACAATGCTAAACTACACACGGAGGATTCAGCCGACGAGTCTGCCGAGCTGTCCATCCTGCCCGTTAGAGCTAACGAGCTGCAGGACTGCGATCAACGGCGAGATGCACCAATGAATCAACGAAAGAAAATGCCACACAAATCTTCAGTGCACCCAAAAGGATCCTTCACCTATGAATGGCGTGAACCTGATTTGGTGATCACTAGCGCCCTCTCATACTTCAGTAGTGATTTTCAAAGTGGTGAGCAGCTGTGCGACTCTACCACACTAAAAGGCACATTCCTGACTGGATGTGCCTTTTTAATGCGAAACCATTATATCTCCACGGAGTGGAAAATCCGAGTTGTACCAAACGTTAACAGAGGAATAAAAGAAAGAATAAAATGTGCTTCCACGGCTGAGATTTGAACCCAGTGCTGCTGTGTGAGAGCCGGGCATGCCAGCTGCTCTGCTATCTCAGCCGCTTCGGAATGCGACATTACTCTCCCCTCAAAAAGAAGCTTGTCCCATTACAGCAAAAGACGGCATGTCTTTACCCGCTCATCGTCCCTGTTTATCCGAGGCTGTTTTTTCATCATGTTTGACGTAATCGGCGTTGATGTGCCCGAAAGATGGTCATAAAAATATGTCCTCGGTTCGATGACATTACACTCCATGTGACGACATGACGTACCATGATGTGTGACGCCGCATGATGTAATGTAAAACAAATATTAGAGGGGCACTTAGGTATCCCTACGTGGATTGAATGCGAAAGCATTGCCATTCCTAACAATAGAGGCGAAAAAGAAGGAAGTGTCGTCAGGAATGGCAATGCTTTTGCTTTCAATCCACAAAGGGATACCTAAGTGCCCCTCTAATATTTTGTGTGGAGTAGAGCTGAAATAAACGCCGTACGGTGCAGTATATCCACGATTAAGTTGCTGCTAGTCGTGAGGCTTAATGTTTTGCACCAACAATACCATAGTTTTTCCTCGGTTGCGACGAAGCGCCACTGCGCTACGAACTTGCTAGAAATTTCTGCATATGCGACCGCTTTCTTCTGGAAACCTATGGTGACCTGCCACTCACTTTTGGCCAAAGAACAGTGAAAATACCAGATGTGAAAACAGCCATAACAAGCATTAAAGAAATCAAGATGGGGGTCATAGCATTAGCTTCCTAACGTGGCGAGAATAGCACAGGATTTCTGTTACTCACCGTTTATAAGACAGGAGTCGACTTTTTCCGGTCTGATCTTGAAAACAAAGTTTGGTTCGGTTAATTTTGTAGCAGAAGGCCCGTGCTTTCCCATTTGTAGGGTCATTTTCTCGGTTCAAAATATGACACCAAGTCCTTCCCATAAAAATGCATGGGTGCCCGCTAGGACTCTTCGAAATGATTAAATTAACTGAGGTCATGCTATACTCTGTTGCCACTCTAGAATAGCAAAGCCCCTCCCACAAAGCCCTTCACTCTTTTTAATAAGCAAACACTAGAGAGGAGGAAAGCCAAGAGGTCACCGCCAATCATGGCGAGCAAAGGGAATTGTGGGAGGGGCTTCTGCTATTCTATAGTTGCAACGGACTATAACAAAAGTTTACAGTACCATGAAAACAAAAAGACCAAGTATGCACAGAAATTTGCAGGAAGTGTAGCAGGGAAAGAATAGAAAAAACTGCAGCTGCAATATTTACCCTTTAAATTTCCTTCGATAGCAGAGCAGAGACGACATGCTGGTCCTCAGAGCCTGGAGGGCCACCCCCTTGTACTGGGAGCACATGTAGTCTGAAACAAACAACAAACAAAAAATTAAATGCATGGACAATCCGCACATGCTGTTATTTCGCTTCATTGGCCGCTTCAGAGAAAGCAAGCATGCACACCGTTGTCCAACCATGTCAACTGCTAGCCGAATCTTCCTGCCGCCAGGATTAAGATATTGCTTGCCCTATAAAAAAAAAAAACAATTACACACTACCTAGCTGGCACGCTGAAAGTTCAAACATTGAAGAAACTAACTCATAAAACTTCAATGCACGAGCTACACCTCGTGGACAATACACAAAAGTAT